AAACAGCAATATTGTTAAGAGGCACAGAGATTAAAATTACAATATTTTTATACAATTTAAGGTTTGAAAACATTAATATTTTTGACATGTTAGTATGCACTTATGAATGCACTATTTAATAAAATTAACAAATATTGTAAAAAATAAAAAAATAATTAGGACGGCTTACACAATACTCATTTAAACTTTCCAGCTCGTAGCTCACATCCACAACTAGGTTTATTAATCAACGACAACCTTATTCAATGCCATATAACTGCATATGTGCAAGAATTTCTATTACTCGTAAAAGCTTTCGTTGTAATTACTATCAACCACATTCTAATAATAATCCATTGAATTCAACAACATTTTCAATTTCTAACATTTACATCGTAAAGATTTAAATTGTCATTTTAGCTACGATATTATTTTTGTTGGTTTAATAGTTTTAATGTATTGGATGGTTCCATGGATTGTTTCAGAAAGTTACGTAGATAGTACGGCAATAATGTACGATTTAAATTACTATTAGTTTGTGACACACTTTTTGTATAATACCGTCCAACTGCGAAAACTCCGTTAATCAGCAAGGACCCGGCCAATTTCGCCAAATACCAGCGACGGAACAGATGACGCTAGCGTAGGAGTTTTTACTTTGACATCAAAGACACTCTCATCTTTAGTCTCTCCGTGACCACGACTGCTGTAAAGCATCCAAAACGTCGGGCCGTAGTTAAACTAATTTTCAAATAACTTTTACTAATATATATCGCGTTGTAAACCGTTAAAGTGTTTATTTAAATGTGTACTAAATACTCGCGTTAACACAGTATTTAGTTCAAAGTATTAAAAAGGTATTCAGCTTATATTTCGGTGATATTTGTGAGAAAGTCAACCTTACCTATATTCAGAGTTCGTTAACGAGGCGATGAAATTTTCAAATGGAACTTGTGACATCTAGAGTTTTAGGCTTCTCGTTTCGAAGTTTTTGACCAGCATTCTATACTTTTAATGAGATAAGTTAATGAGGCGCTCTTTCTGACATACCATAATTGAGTTGGAGTTCCTGTAACACATATATCATTAGTTTACTGCTTAATTCATATACTGTATCTTCGCTTCTTTTAGTCACAACGCGATGTGTTTTTAAAATGTTTTATAGCCTATAGAGCATTTATCGAAGAAGACTTCTCTCGTCTAACCAACACAAAAAGAGTTTTTCAATTCGAACCCGTAGTGCATGAGATTAGCGCGTTCAAAAAAACAAACAAACTCTTCAGCTTTATATATTAGTATAGATGAGAAGAGTAAAGGGTTAAAATAATAAAAAAATATTGTTATAAACATAGTTATAATATTATTATCTGTAATCTTTCAAAATAGCCACTCTTCAAATGTGTATTACAATTGACAACGATATGACAAAATAATAACTATTACAGAATCAACTCACTCGAGTGTCCTGTCCTGAGTATTTGAACAAATTGTATATGTATTTTACAGCCTGTAAAGTCGGTCTACGTATTAATTCAGCAAAAACGGTATGTACCTTTTTTGTTGGTGTTGATACAAAGATTTATAAAATCAAGCAATCATTCAAACCAGCTGTAGCCAAAGGGATCCAACTTCCGCGTAATGAAAGGGAAGGGAATCCAATATGGTGACTCGCAGATTTTACTTGGTAGCAGTGCGATAAAGCGGTTTATTAAAGTTTGACTTCAAAAATGTGGTACATCCTAACACAGTGATGAATACAATTCCAAAACAAAAACCTATTTCTTTTTTAAAACAGTGAATGACAGATAGGAATGGAGTCAATAACCAAAACCGTAGACACTCCGTATAACAACGTTATACACAACAAAACTGCCTTTGCCCGTGCAGTCGAGGCCCCCATGTTTCCCCCCTCTCACTCGGGTGACGATCTGTCCAGCTCTCCAAGCTCTCTCAGGGCACTCCTCCCTATCCACAAAGCCCTATACAAAAAACAAATTTACCAAGCTAACACATACGTTATCATAAAAAAATAAGCTGGAGCCATTCACCTGATAAAAAGTAAAAATACTCTACCCGATTTAATATCTAAACAAAATCGCTGACAACCTATTTCGGTTATGGACATTCGGAATTTCTACATTTAAAATAATTCACGCGACAGTTGCAGGCCCTTACACTTACTTTGCATCTATTTCTGTTTTAGACACACGCGAAAGTAAATTTAGTAATAAAAACATCCGACGTTGGTGACGTCCGTTGAATGCTTAACAGCAACGTTGCCTATATTTAAGTTCAACATGTTTTATTTAAACCATTGTTGCAACTTAACTGTAGGAACTTAATTATACAGTCGGGTCCACGGCTAATATATTTCGCGTATAAAACCGTTAAAAGCTTTTATTCAAACGACAAAACCTCTCAATTTATATTAAAGATCAGCCCTATTCAAGTGATTATCTTCCTAAAGTACGCACTTCAATTTAAGTATCGTCTATAGCATATCTATAACTATTCGGAAAAACGACGGATCCAGAACAAGCTGTTGCACAACTTGGAGAAAAAGACTTCAAACATAATACATCTGAAAACCCATTCGTCTCTACGAGCGTGTACGTCGCTGTTCAGTATTCTTCCATACACGATTCCCTTGGTACAGTCTACGGCATCTATGGACTAAAGTACCGACCTGTTGCTCAATCGATTTGGTCGGCTTTGTGTGGCGCACACTCCACTCAGCTTTATTTCACATTAACAGAACGACTCAAATTGTGACGCAAACTTAAATTTCGTCTTGTTCTGTTCTCTATTAATTGTAATACATAAGTGAAATCCCGTTTACCATATTGACAAATACATTTCTCTGTCTGTTGCACTGGTCGATTTTATTTACAGACTTCAGTAATACCTCTGGCACTGTAAGACACACTTATTGTGCTTTCCCGGTGTTCAAAACACGGTTCGAACACGGTCCAGCACGCTGTCCCAAGTTAGGTGAAAGACAACATAAATAAATATTTCTATATCGAGGGATAATAATAAAAAAGATTTATTGAGAGATAAGTTATAATAGTATTGAGTATCAATACGCAATATGACTACAAAAAAGTCCAATAGAAATAATTTGTATCTGTCAACGTGAAATTTTATATTCATCATCATTATTGTAATCTAAAAAAATACTATAACATGTATACTCTCGTAAACAACAGAAATTTTTTTTAAGTTATTTATTCGTACGGAACATTTAACTTTTTGGTTCTAAATACAAAAAAAAATAGTTTTTATTAAAGTAATTCTGTTTAACAATCAATAATCTTCACTCATGCTATAAAACCTCACAATGAAATCTTGTCTGGAATTGTATGACGGGATACCTACAATTTTATACGTAAAATTACACAAAGATAGCTCATAATCAAGATGAATCCTTCGCTACTAATTACTTAACTTAAGTAGATTAAGAACTTCTGATATCTTTGAGGTTTACTCAACCTACCGACTTAAGTAGCTGTAGCGTAAATTAAATGCATAATAGTAAGTTATTATTTTCTATGAATAGCTAATTATTAGCAACTGCGTCTACTTTTTGTTTGATATTGTTTTAATTAATTTGTACACATAAAAACAAATAAACATACTTTTTAACCGTTGAAGACCGTTATCAGTTACACACACGGGAACAGGGACTATTTATTAACGAATTCAGGAGTAACCTAAAATTAAAAATATACGTATAGGTACAGATAAGAAAAACAAAAAAATAATTACTTTATAAAAATACAGATAAGTATTCCATTATTATTATTATTATATTTATTCTATACCGAGCATAAATCGGCTTAAGTATTGTCATGCTTCTTTCCGGATCACTATGCTGTGAGTATCGTCGTTTTACTTAAAGACTACAATATAATATGGTTTAACTCGATGAGAAAAAGGGCAATATTTTGTTGTTAACTCGAGCAGCACATATCTAAGTATACTCTAGAGCCGTCTTAAATTATTAGGCCTTGTTCTAAACTTATATTTAATTGATCAATAAACAGAACGTAATTTAGATCAACACTTAAACAAATAATATTGAAAAAAAAATAACTTTTGGCGGTTAAAATCATGTTGACATAAAGATAATCTAAGGCCTACGCGAGAGTTCATAATGTAGATTATACTATATTACTGTTGTTATATGTATAGTACTGTATTAGTGTTGCCAACTGCATACATTAAAATGCAGGATTTATATAAAAAACCGAAGTATCACTGCTTCACTGCATACAAAATATAGAAGCGAGAAAAAACCAACTTTACTTCACGGTACTTTGCTTAAAGAAGAAATTAAGAATTCATATACCCTTAACAAGTCTTTAAAAACTAAGGATGCTTATATACTATAATATATTAACTACCTAGAACACCCCAAAAAACAGGGCATAAAGGGATATTTGGCAACCTAACTATAATATAAGTTTACAGTCATATTTGCCAATAATATTTTGCAGTTTTAGTATTATGAAAAATATTTCCGCCACTGGCCCTAATGATAAGGTGACAAAAACAGTAATAAGGGTAATAATGGATGAGGCCAAATCCAATAATCCAACCTATATTCCCAAGGCAATGAGTAATTAACTTTTTCATTTAGCTTCAGTTTTATTTAACTGACACAATAAATATATTTTCAGTATGACAATCTAGGCACTTAAGAAACTGTGTCGTTAATAAGAGGAATGTGTCAAGGATTACCATTCAGGTAAAATTTGTGAACTTTAGGAACTGTACCATCATCACAGGGTCGCAGCAACTTACTTCTTTGTGCTTTGTAGAAGTGGCTCTTTTAACAAAAACATTTTATTCAGCTGTTAGACATCTTAATATAGTAATACTTACAGAATCAAAAAAAAGTATTTTATTTTTTACCTAAATAATCACAGCATATGTTAAACATACTTTTAATCTGAGTTATATATAAGAACGGATACAAAACCTATCTACACCTATAAAAGTTTAATTAATCCCTAGTCTTAAGACTTAGCAGTGAATATCATTGCCAATATATCTGGGGTTCTTAAGATAGCAGATTCCATTTGTAATTTAGCTGGTGTTTTCAACTCTTGGACTATAACCTCTGACCCATCAGGATTCCATGCAGTGAATTTGGCATCCAATGTGGACTTTTCATAAGTTACAATAGAACAGGATTGTCCTGAAAAATACATAATTGTAATTAAAGCTGTTTGTGTAGGGAAAGTAACATTAATAAAAAATAAATCATTAACGTATCACCCTATTAACTAAAATAGCAACAACTTGCCTTGTAGTTCTTTAATTGATCTTAAGAAACCTTCTCGCAATGCTGAAGAAGCCTCTTGTTTTTGCCTTACTTCATTTTCAGATACCATTGTTATAAAAACTTGGGTTTTAAATATACTTTTAATTACGAGCTCATTTCCTTTAAGACATTAATATTTAAACGAAATTAGATATTATATTACTATAACTGATATGTACAAGACTAACATTTTTTCATTTATAATTTACGAACTTTGAATACCTACGGTATTGATGTTAAAAAAAATAGTTAAAATAATATAAACCATAGACGTAGAGTTTAACATAGCCAATGAAGAGACGACAGAGTATAGAACTACGTAATCGCCATCTTTTCTATAGTCTGTGACTTTTACAATTTGTTCCGATTCAAAGTCGCGTTCGAATATCGATTTCTTTTGCTTATTAAATTAAAACAGGGAATTTAAATATTTTTTAATTCAGATAATGATTGAAGATAAAAAAAGTCTTTCTTTTACAATCAAAACATTAAAGTGCTTAATATGCTAGGAAATAAAACGCAACTTTTCGTATAATATTCATTTAATCGTAAAAATGATAATCATTCACACTGCGAACTTATACAAAACGCCAATCACAATATTAACATTGTTAATCATAAAATAAAAAGGTGATAAATACCTGAATCACTCCTCAATGGAATCGGTATAAACCTAGGGGCACATTTGTAGAGGTAGCTACACTATACATATTAAACCTAGCGTAACAAGTATAATATTGCTAATACAATAACATGCATTAGTTTATTTTGAATATCCGTAAAGTGACCATATGCTTGGCACCTCGAAACGGTTGGTCAGCTCCCGAGTTCTTTATTCTTCAATGTTCTCTAAGCTCATAAGTACCTCTTAGTTGCTGCTGATCTGTTTTCTTCTTTGCATTCCCAACTGAAAAGTCCATTGACATTCTAGTACTGAGGATTAGAGCATCAAATAGGAACTACCTTTAATGATAAAATTCATAAAACCGAAGTAAATCATATAAAGATACTTCCTTTTAAGGTTTAGGATATTTTGTTTCATATGGCAACAATTTTCAGAAATTTAAAATAAATAGACGAGGAAAAAACATAAAAAATAGTTGCCATAATCTGAGTACCTGCAAATACACAGTAGATGATGTGAAAACAGCATCCATTTGTCTCAAGGAAAATATTTCGTACGCGGGACCTCTCTATATGGAATATTAGTAATGGCAATTATCAGGAATTATTAAATCAGAAACGCCTGGAACTTTGTAAGCCTACGTAATACTTGAAACATTAGAAGATTTATTGAAACGATAAGTATTTATTAAACATTTGCTTAGTCAAGAATGGAAGAATGACCGCGGCTCTCCTAATAATAACCCTAACAAATACCTGGCATCGCATACTTGCGACAGAAGGCCCGACTGGCAACTCGATTCGTGACGACAACAAAACAGAATTTCAGGTACCTCTAGAAAACGAAGCCGAGCCCGAACATTATGCACATTAGCCAGATTCCAAAAAACCGGCCAATACATTAATTATGGCGACCAGCCGCTATGCAAAATACCAATCAAATACCTGCAAATTCCGTCGGTGTGACGACAACTACCGAATCAACGGGGTGAACTACCCTCATTAGATTGCCATACCGATGTAATATTTTGGTATATTTTACTAAGAGCTGTAAAATAACAGTGTTCACTTTATTACTTGTTATTTGTCTATTAATTGGGAGCATGTGAACTGCTTGTGAGTGACCGTTATGTGTTATTGTTACGGCTGGTTATTTAAAGCTGTGGGCGACGTGTGAGGTGGGGGTCGTATTCATTTATTATGCTTACCGTTTCGAGGGGGTTTGTGATACCTCAGTTTCACTAACGGCGGTCGCGGGAGCGGCGACGTGAGCGGTCATGGGGTGATCCTGCAATTTAAGATTGTCATCATTTCGAGCATGGTTTGTCCAGAATTATTAGAGGGAATGCCCATATTATCCATAGAAAATAAATCAAAAGTTTAAAAGAGTTATTGTGGCAACACAATAATGAGTAAATTGTTGTACTAACTTATTTTCCGATAAATATTGGAGTTTTGAAACATTCTTAAGCTACTAGGCATAGGACATGACCCAGACGAGACCTAGGAGCTTACTTGAGTAGAACAGCAAAACATATCGTTGTTGATGCCGGTTTAAGTCGCGCACTGAATTTTTAAAATCTATATCATAATAAATGTAATTAATTTCTGTTTTTTAGTGGTGTGGGTATTCCCCTTTCAAAGGAAAAAACACTTACTTCTACGATGTTTGCGCTCGCGATCACGGTCACGGTCCCTATCACGCTCACGCTCTCGATCGCCGCGTTCCTTCTCCCGCTCCTTTTCCCTTTCCTTGTCCCGGTCCCGACGTTGCTCCCTGTCCCGCTCCCTTTCCTTGTCGCGGTCCCGTTCCCTGTCACGCTCGCGTTCCTCGTGACGATTATTCTTGTCATTGTCCCTGCTTTCCCTGGAATAATAATAGTTTTAAAATCTAGCTTGTACTGATTGAAAAATTAAAGCACAGACTAAATGTTCCTGATATTTACCGAAGCATTGGGGTTTTTTTTACAAGACATAAAGGCATTGAAAAGGAGGAACAATTATTTACCAAGCCGAGTCTTAAACTTAGATGTTATTTAAAAAAAATAACAGGAGTAACACTCCATAGAAAAGACACAACTAGTTTCATATAAAAATAAACTTAGAGGAGAAAGAGATACACAGTTGTAAGTTAGTTCTAATACCTATGTCTATCTTTGTCACGCGTACTATCTTTTTCTTTGTCCTTATCGCGGTCCCTTTCACGGTCTCGTTCCATACGCTCCCGATCTCGCCTGTCTGATCCCAAGCCGCCTCCACGAGCGTTTCTTTCTTTCTCCCTTTCCTCTCGACGGCGCTTTTCTTTCTCTTGTTGCTCTTTCTCGCGAGATGCTACCATTTCTTCATATGCTTGTCGTAGTTTAAAATATCTGTAGCAAATATTTATAAAGATGAGTTACTGAAACAATTTATCAACTATCTTTCAGTTGTCGTTTCCATACCCAACATGTTGCTTGCCAGATAAATGGTCATCAATTCTCTGCTGTGCATCACCAACAATTAAAAAGGCGCCACATACTGGACACACTTCCATTTGTTTCTCTTGTGCAGCAGCAAGTTCGGCTGTCATAGACCAGTGACTGAAATAAAAAAGTGTTATGATTTATAGACTTATTTGGACTCAAACTAAGATAGAGAATAATATATATATATATAAACAAACTAATGCAAAGTATATTTTAAAATAATTTTCCGTTTTTCAATCAATATAACCAACCTATTTTCCTGTTGTTTAAGAAGTTGATCTTTTTCTTCTTTTAACCTGTCACACAATTTCATCAGTCCCTGAGCTTGCTCTACATTTCCACATGTTCCTGCTTCCTCTGCTTCTCTGACTAATGATGTTATTTTTTCAGACAACAGAGATACCTAAGTAGAAAGCAGAGAAATAGTATTACCAATAGGCCTATGTAATAATAAAATATATCTACTACCACCAAGACCACTCCTGACTGGTTTGGTTTAGGTGTAGTTTGCACTTATCATTTTTATGGTAGGTAAAATTCAATAAAAATTACCTATTGCATATACTTTTTAACCTGTAAGTGTCATTTGGAGAAAGTAATCAAAAAAATAACTCTGAGAATAGTTATTATAATTTCACAACAAAATACATAAATGAGTAAGACTATTAATCTTGTTTTATACACACCTGTTCTTGATTTTTCTCTGTTTGAGCTTGAGTCATGGGAGGACCTTCTGGTCTTGAATTCATTAACTCAAGACGCTGTTTTCCTTTTTGTATTTTCCCTGTAAGATTAATTGTTATTATTGGCTTTATTAACTTAACTTATATATAAATAATATTTACATAATATTATTTATGTATAAGTTTCTTTTCACTTAAGTATATAGAAAACAGAGCAAGGCATCCATAATAACACAATCAGAGCTCTGTTGGTTGTCTCGTTTTTGCAACACATTATAAATGTTTTCAAATACGCAAACCTAACAGTTCTGAATCAAATACCTAGTAAGTTTAACTGCCGAAAGAGAGATATAGAAAACATTGTAATGACATCACTGCAGGTATGCAGGGCAAATAGTATCACTTTTATTATATGAATCTTACTATACTAACCTAATTTTAAGAACATTATAACTAATATACTAGACTTTTAACTCCCTGAATAAAAGTATTGTTATCATTATTAGACACATGTAATGATCTAAGCTTATTTTTAATTCAAAAATAGGCCAACAAGTGTTCAAAAACTTACTTTCAACATCATTTATCATGTGACGGCAAAACCGCAAAAACTCTTCTATATATTGAGATTTTTTATATGTAAAATCAGCTTTCTCAAATAATTCCTTCACTTCATCGTCATGCACTTTTGGACAAACTCCCAGATCTGCCCGGGTGTTGACAAATAAATCGTGTGGACAGAATTTCACCATGTAATATTTACAGTACTGAAAATAAAATGATATTATAAAGGTTATCATAAAATCCCAAAAATAAAGAAAACATGGTAAATAAAACTCATCGTATCTTACTCTCAGAAGTAGAGCTCCAACATGGAAATAAAATAAAATTAAGAGAACTTTATTACAATTAAAAAAAACTTCTAATGCAGAAGTAAGGAGCTCCAAAAATATTGATTAAGCCTACTGTGTTAGTGTTTATTCTTATTTATCTTACCTCAGGATCTTCCCAATTCGGCTTTTTAATTTTTTCATTGGGGTTTGTATTTCGATGTCTACCCATCAGTTCATCAAGCAACTGAGCCGCCGCTAAGACAGCCATGGCTCTTGTATCGACAAAACTAACCTAGTATCAGAACAGTCGCTTACAACATTTAACGAATATTAATTGTACGCGTTTCGACTTTTAATTTACTATTACAACATCGATCGAATTTAGATTACAATCAATTACAAAATTCATTACTTAAAACAAATTGAAAGAAAATACAGGATAACGTATCAATAGCTAGGTAACGAAGATTATAAGATTCGTGACTAGTATATACGGCAATTTTACAGTAACAGATTATATTTTACGTAGTAAAGCAACCCAAAATATATTTGATTTTCAACGACCCAATTTCCAACCACAGATGTAATATGACAAAGTAGCGACCTTTTACTTTAACCTACAGATAACTTAACTTTTAACCTGTATCTGTGCTTTACAGCTGATCAACGATTTCTTGTAGATTTTGTTTTGATCTTGTGAGACCACAATTTATGAAGATACAATCTTTAAGTTATAATATTGAATTCGCGATATAACTTTCACTGTAGTACGTACAAAATGGGTGGATTATTCACTAAGAGTAAAAAAACAGTGACGAGAGTAACTGAACAAGATAAGGCAGTACTTCAGTTAAAACAACAAAGGGACAAATTAAAGCAGTACCAAAGAAAGATTGAAATAAATCTGGAAAAACAACGACAACTAGCAAAAAAGCTATTAGCAGAAGACAAACGAGATAAGGCGAAATTGCTTTTGAAAAAGAAGAGATACTTAGAAAATCTTTTACTAAATACTGATGTACAATTAGATAAACTGGAACAGCTAACACACGATTTGGAGTTCACTCAGATTGAAGTACAGGTAAAAAGCGTCTTTAAATACTATTATAGTATTAACCTTGGAAAAATCAATTTATTAATTCAAATTTAAAGTATCTCATAACATATAGAGTTAAAATTTTAATCAGTACCAAAGGCTTATCTTCCAAACTCACAAGATTTAATACCTTAAAATTGTTTGTTTAGATAAATATCCTATCATAAAAAGGGATTAAATTATCCTGTGTACTCATTACCTATAGACTCATCTGTATTCCTAAAAAACTACTAATGGTTTCTATATGACACAGGTACTTGATGGCCTAAAGAATGGAAATGCTGCTTTGAAGAAAGTACATGAAATGCTTAGTATTGATGAAATTGAAAGAATTATGGATGAAACTAGGGAAGGTATTGAAAAACAAAGAGAACTTGATGAGCTAATTTCTGGCCAATTAACTGAGGAAGACGATCAAGCAATTGAAGCTGAGCTAGAAGAGATGCTAGATGTAGGAGTTGAGCTTCCTGAAGTTCCTACGACAGACTTACCTGAAATCTCTCATGAGGCTGTACCTGATAAGACTAAGAAATCAAAAGAAAATTCACAAAAGATAGCTATGGAGGCATGAACATAGTGGAAGTATATCTTAAGATTTAAGTAAAAAGTTTATATTGTATATTTTAAAGACTATGTTAACTATGTATAAAGAGAATATTTTTATTTATAAAAAATTAAGCCTTGATGGTTTCATTATTATTTTTTCTATTTAGTTTAAAGTACACAGTAGTAGTTGGATACAGAGATCAAAACTATCAAAAATATCTTTGATAGTTCTGTCCTGTACAATATGAAGGGATAACTTTTTTTAATCTTGAGTCTAATTATGAAAGACTGACAAACAGTGAAAGCTAATGTTTTATGTTAATCTTTAATTAATTACAAAAAATGAATAATAGCAAAACCCTATTTAAAGAAAAACACCAATAGACATTTGTTTCATATTTAATCTCATTCATATCAAATTACTGAATATAATTTAAAATGTAGTCATACTAATATCTAACAATTTAAAAATTAAAGTATAAATAATGTATTGACAATAAAGTTACATACTTTGTTTTTAATATATAAAATTATGTCAATGATTTACCACATGTTAAGTGTAAACAACGATTCTGAACCGTTAGCTTATTACTTTACAATGTTCTTAGGAGGTAAACGAAATAACATGCCACATATTCTATAAGGTACACTTAAATTATTTATTTCTAACTATGTACATTTACATACAACATCCCTGCAAAAGAGGGTCAATGAAGTGATTACAACACCACTCCTATGTGCCATGTTGCTATATCTAACATAACCAAACGTAAAGACTAAAGTATCACACATTTTACTGTACATAAAAGAATGGCAAATATGAATCTTTTCTCTTCATGATTTACAGGAAGGTTGTAGGGGCAAGGAATGTATGTATAGATACAATGACTATTAACACAAATCCACATTAATAAACACATATTAATACTGAGTAAGAAATATGTACTATGCAATAAGGACCTAGTAAATCAAGGTGGAAAGTGGCTCCTAAAATTAAAGTTAATGCAAATTTGGCATTAATATTACAATAGAAAGAGATTGAACTGATAATATACAAACCTCATTCTGGGTATTCACCAACCAAAATCTGTGTCATAAAATAAATTTATATAATTTTATGATTCTCCCATCGGCTAGTCATATATACGATAATAGTATATAATACGAATATACATAATAAATTTACAAAACGACGACAATTGTTTCCAATTTACAAGTACTAATTAGAAAAATATATCAGTACTTCCATATAGGTATATATAACTTTTGACATGAGGCCATAAAAACACATATGTATTTCCAGACCCATTCTTGCTGTGTTGCTACCAAATGTTTATTCAGTATATGAAGTAAGATCCGAAACAAGTGAATTATTATCGTACTAATAGTTAACAGCGACCGAATGGTGAGCTATGGCTGCTCCGGCGTGGTGCTGCGACGAAGTAAACGAGCCAGTAGCGACGTTGGCTCCACTTGTGGGGGCTGTTGCACGCACTTGCTGTGACAATACAAATTTGTTAATAATTTCCGCTAATGTTTTACGTTTGGAATGCATAAGTTGAATTTAAAAATGGAGGTGAAGGGCGGAAACTAATTAATCGTATATCATTATTAAACGTTATTATCGATGGTAGGTTAGAGTTCCGCTTCTGTCATTGATTTATTTGATTTTTGGTCCATTTTCGGTTATACTGTTTGAGTGTATGGTGCTATTTTTTATTTCTGCTGATTGTTAATTTTTTTATCTCGATATGTCTAGTTATTCACCTGTGTAGTAATTTGCATTACTGTTGCCTGAGGTTGAGGAATTGTATTTTCAGTTACTCTGCTCTCTGATGGTGGTCTAAAATAACAAGAAAAGGACACAGGATAATAAATAAGATTCGTTTATGCGAAAATATCACCAATAAGCTAGGTATACGCACCTAATATCAGGTTTTGTGTCAATATCAAGTGGGTCCGAATCGAAAGTTTTACTGCAATCAGTCATGCAGCTGTCTACTATTGGTAGATGTTCTTCACTTGGGTTATTTTCTGTAGTTGCCGTGTGTGTACGCCGATGCGTGACTAAATGACCTATTAAATAATCAAAATTCAAGATCATTGCCAACGTTATTATTTGCCATTGATTCGAAGGACGGAATAGTTCTTTTACCTTATTTAGTTGTAGCATGCATTATTAAAATTATTCCAAAAATATTATATCTAACAATAACTATTCTCCAACTGTCAAATAGCTTTGTCAACCAATGTTTTAAAGTGAATACTGTCTGTATTAATAAATTTAAAATAAAATCTTTTTTAAATCCAATAGACTTTGTATAACAATTAATTTTTAAATACATAATTAACTAACCTTTACACATAAATTCCTTGGAACAGACATCACATTTGAACACTTTCGATGCTCCTTTATTGTGAGACCTTTCATGGAATAGAAGATTTCCTTTCAATGGAAATGATTTTCCACATTCCCCACAGCTAAATGGTCTTTCCCCACAACTATGTGACCTTAAGCATTAATAATAGTCTAATTAAAAACATTTAATCAATTCAGAGCGTCACGCCATACTAAAAATTATGAAGTAAAATTAAAATGATTGTGAACAGAATCTTGGTTGATTAAACCAACATAATTCATGTAAGATTTCAACACCTCTTAAGGATAGAGTATAATAGTGCATAAAGCCAATTATAAAACATACCTCATGTGAGTGATGAGTTGCTCTTTTCTGGTGAAGGCCTTTGAGCAAACTTTACAGGAATGAGGCGAGTCACCAGTGTGTTGCTTCATGTGATTAGTGAGGTGTTCCTTGCGTGTGAACGTCTTGTTACAAAACTCGCAACGATGAGGCGACTCACCGGTGTGTATCCTGTGACAAATGAACAATTTAATCTAAAGCTATCCCAGAAAACCTTCTAGTAATAACAATAGAAATAAGTTTTTTCAAATCAATTCTTTAAGTAGCACATTATATACTAAATTTATGAAGCTACTTACCTCACGTGATTAGTAAGATGTTCCTTCCTGGAGAAAGTCTTAGTACAGAAGGGGCACTTATGCGGTGTCTCACCCGTGTGGAGATGCATATGATTTGTAAGGTGCTCTTTACGAGAGAATGACTTTGTACAGTATGTGCACTTGAAAGGAGTTTCGCCGGTATGTTGCCTAAAACAAAAGATAAGATGTTGCTTTTGTCACTTTTTCATATTTTTGGGCAAATGCTGGTCCAATAATATTAAAGAAGGTCCCATTAATATTGTGTAAACGTCTTGTTTATTTGTTTTCTTCTCATATTACGTTAAAGGGAGACCGGATATCTCTTCATCATATTGCGACTCTCTGCCCAAAATTAAATAGTTCGGAGTATTGTACCAAAAGTGTAGGATATGTATGGATATATCTTATGTATGTAGCTTTACCTATAAGACATTTATGAACACAGCTTGTAAATGAGATACATTGTTTCCCAAACTATTTTTTCACCCAAAACTCACCTAATATGATTATTTAGGTGTTCTTTCCTGGTGAAGGTCTTGGTACAGAAAGTACAAGCATGCGGCGACTCGCCCGTGTGCGTCCGAATGTGAGTTTTAAGGTGCTCCCTCCGGACGAACGAGCGCGGACACATCGTACACTTGTGTGGAGCCTCCCCGGTATGCTGTCTGCACAGAGTACATTCCGATTTGAACTTAAAAATAATCTTACGTATATACCGAAAAGCAGAAGCTTCATCAAATCGGAATGCACAATGCTGTGCTACTGAGCATAGAGGAAACTTCACACGCATGTTTTAACATTTTGTGTATCAACGCTTGTTTAAATAGCAGGTCGTAAAAATAGGAAAGGACCAAATTAAAGGAAGCAGTTTGTAGCACAGCATTATGTCAAACGAGGAATGGAGGGATCTAGGGGTATAAAACTTAATATTTTAACTTGTAAATATTCCAAGACACTTCACCACGCTTTTATGCTATTCTGATCTAAAGAATGACAACACTTAAGCTAACTTTAAGACCTACCGTATATGATTTGTAAGATGCTCCTTCCTGGTAAATGACTTAGAACAATAGGTACATCGATGCGGCGACTCGCCCGTGTGTTGTCGTACATGGTTTGTCAGATGCTCCTTGCGAGTAAATGACTTCGTGCAGAATGAACATTTATGAGGCGACTCCCCAGTATGTTGCCGCACATGGTTTACTAAAATACATCATTAATTTATTATATGTTTTAATAAATTCAATTAGTTTGTTTTGTATATTATTTGTCAGCTTCAACAAATAATAAAAAAAATAGTACCACATCTATACTAAAGCTGAAGGGTTTGTTTGTTTGAACGCGCTAATCCCAACTAATATTGGTTCGAATTGAAAATTTATTTTTGTGTTGGATAGAGCATTTATCGAGGAAGGGTATAGACACACATCGCGATATAATTCATAGGAGCGAAAAAACAGCGGGTAATCAGAAAAAAAACGGGGAAAATGACTTATCATTATGGGTTGCCGAGGCGTATGCTGCAAGAACGGTTCAAGATACACAAAAATATGTATGAAAGAATGATTCCACTTTATATAGTCTAAAAAAAAGTCCGCGACGTCATATGTCTATCTTTTAAGATTTACTTGCAAGAACGACCGGATATGACACAGCTAGTAAAATAATAATAATACAAATATACCTAAATGATCTTTCCTAGTAAACGCCTTAGGACAGTATCCACATTGGAAGGGAGTTTCGCCAGTGTGCTGCCGTACATGGTTAACGAGATGCTCGCGTCGAGTAAAAGACTTCGAGCAGTAGTTGCAACGATGAGGGGATTCTCCTGTGTGTTGTCGTACGTGGTTAAGCAAATGCTCCTTGCGCGTAAACGTCTTGGAACAGAAGTCACATCGATGGGGAGTTTCACCTGTAAAAAAAAAAGAGATTTGTTGGTATTTTTCAACTCTTAATGCAATGTTAAACCCAGCATGCTAAGATCGTCTTAAAAATTTAACATGTAAATCCAAGCCTGAACACCAGCGGGTCATGAAAGCGTCAAATAAAGGGGAATACTAACCGGAGTGCCACAGAATGTGATTGGTGAAGTGTTCCTTTCTGGTGAACGACTTGCCGCACTGTTCGCATCGGAACGGCGTGTCGTTAGTATGTGAGCGCATATGGTTCACTAAATGCTCCTTCCTAGTATACTTCTTGCCGCAAATTTGACAATGGTGCGGCGTTTCACCTAGCGAGCGGGGCAGAAAATAAAACGTCTCATCAATGATGCAACTATCTCTTCCAGTGTTCTTCAACGTCTGAATAGCGTTTACTTACTAATGGCAATTGTTTTACTTATATTTTATTATTTCGTGCCAACTTCAAAAGCAGTTGTTTTGAAATTTTGAAAATTTTTTCTATGATATCAATGTTGACTTAAAAAACTGAATGTGATTTATTTAAGGCTTTAGCCCCAAAAACTTTGAAAAACACTGATAGACAAGACTATTATAACAAAACATTTTCGTGCATTGTTAGTTGTCTGGGGTAAAGCAAGGTTTGACTGGAATTGATTTGACATGGCATTCTAATAGTTGAATCATTCCGTTACTTTCTACTTTCTGCACCACTTTAACCCTATTTTGGTGCAGGCTTGGCTTCACACATAATATATTGTCTAAAATTACTGTTATATACGTATATGTAGTAATTAACGAGATTGACTATATAAAAAATAAGTAAGGAAAGAATATTGTTTAGAAAAACCCCTTCCCTGTGTATGTTATGAAGCTTAAGATTATGTCTCATGCGGACATGAAATCTAGAATTTTGGCGACGTTTTTGTTTGACCAAAACACAAAGCTGTGTTGCAATGACTAACCGGTATGCCACATGACGTGGTTCATGAAATGCTCCTTGCGCGTGAAACTCTTTTTACAGATCTCGCAGCGATGTGGAGTTTCACCAGTGTGCTTGCGTACGTGGTTCACCATGTGCTCTTTACGTGTGAAGGTTTTCGCACAGAATTGACATCTGAAATGCAAGCTCAAGATATATATAATAACTAATTATATAGGCATACGTAGTTTGTTGTTTTCATGGTTGATATTAATTAAATAACTCTACCAAATTTGAAGTCATTTTTTTAAATACTGTCTATAGTTTACGCGAGTAGTACACATTTAAATAAAACACTTTAACGGTTTAAAACGCGATATATTAGTTAAACTTATTTGAAAATGATTTTTAACTTCGGCCCGACGTTTCGGATGCTTTGCAGCAGCCGTGGTCACGGGGAGACCGAAGTTAAAAATCATTTTCAAATAAGTTTAACTAATATATCGCGTTTTAAACCGTTAAAGTGTTTTATTTAAATGTCATTTTTTTAGATAATTTAAACAAGAATCATTCTTTTATACATATTTTTTTGGTTTCTAACGTTTTTGCAGCGCACGCAAAGGAAACTCTAAAAAAAAGATGTATAATTTTCTCAGAGTCTTCCATATTTCGCATTGGTGGCACCGTTATGTTTTATACCTTAAAGCTTTCCGCAATAAATGCTCTAACTAATAAAAAACAATCTTTCAATTCGAACCAGTAGTTCCTGAGATTAGTGCGTTCAAACAAGCTTTAACTTTACTTTTTAATATAGTCAAATACTTATTTCCAAAATACTTTGTATATTATGTACATTAGTACAAATAATGATATACACTACCTATATGGGGTCTCGCCAGTGTGCGTTCTGGCGTGGTTGTCAAGGTGCTCTTTGCGCCAGAATGTCTTCTGGCAAGTTGTACACGCGTACGGCTTGTCTTGAGCGAGTCGCTTAGCCTGACGTTCTGCCGAGTCTCCAGCTGTGAGCAATTTGGCATTTAAAGTTCTATTGTTATTTCAGCAAAAGTAACACGTTAATAAAATTTTTTGTTATAATTCGTTGCAATACAGATATTGTAAAATCTCGTTTCCCACCATGGGTCTTGGGGCGAACACATTTTTGTGCCAATACGGACTAAGTTTTTTGGTCCTTTTTAAAAGTTTCCTTTTATGCCGTTTGGTCTTCTATAATTTCAAATTTTATGTACAGTTAAGAAATCCCTTACCTAGATGACACTTTCCATGCTTAGACAATTCTGTGGGACTAGAAAAAGCATTGCCGCAAACCTGACACGTATATGGTTTGTTTTCACCATGATATCGCCTATAAACAAAATGTAATTATGTTAATATACCACTAAACATACATGTATTTTTTTTCTTAGAAACTTGTTTAGCAAGTTAAAAAAATTATTGTATTTATCTATTTAAAAATATTTCGAGTTTCGACCAAAGGATTTAACACAAATTTCTCCTGAATATCCAATAAACTTAAAAAAATATTATTTACCGAATTATTTATTACATTATGCTTAACCAGTATTTGAACCGAGAGAAATATAATCAGTATATATGCTTTGAAAATACCATGTATACACTAAAAATATGGGCATATAGGTTTACCTGTGAACGATAAGTTGATATCTAAATTGGAATATTTTTCCACAAATGTCACATGAGTGATGTCCAGGAGATGCTTCTGATTCAGACATAGCCGTGCTTGTGCCTGGTTCCATTTCCACTTCGTATAATACTTGCTGTTGGAATATATTTGTATTAGACTTTTTACATATGATTTTTTATTATGACAAACTTGTGCCTCTGTCTACTGACTGAGTTTCACAGTGAGTAATGGACCAATAAATGTTTCCTCAAGATTCGAAACCAGCACCTCTTTTATTAAATAAATGCTCAGAATTTTATGAACCATAGAGGTGGAAGTAGTAAAAATTTGTTATATATATAAGCAGACAGAACTTAAACTCGCAAACAGTGTAGCTGGGGTGCTAAGACACAAGTATTAAAAAAGACTGAATAGTGACAGAATTTATGAAATAAATATTCAAATTACATTTTTTGTCATAAGATTTTAATTGTTGAGCTATATATAACCTTATAATAAGATTTCAGCATTTTATTTTTTAATTGTACCTTATTCTGTTGGGTCTGTTGCGCCTGCTGTGGTTGACCTGTTTGCTGCGCTTCTGTATTAAGTTTGCCGAACACCTCATGGTACGCGAGTAATTGCGACAAATCCTCTACATTGACTTTATACATTGCGTGCAAGTCATGGTCGGCTGATATCTTTACAACTGCACCCTCAACGCCCATATTGCCAGCGCCCTAAACAATTTTTTTTATTATAATTACGACTAGCTGTGTCAACGACTTCTTCCGCATAGAACAGTTGCTTTGGGCGTCTAAATTTGTTTTTTCAAACCTTCTCCTTATGATAAATAATTTATAGCCTTCCTCAATACATTCTCTAACCAACATAAAAAAAATCACATTGATTGTGATTAATTAATAGCCGAATAGCTCACCTTTAGATCAATTCCTTTGATATCTTTTATATCAGCTGGAGTAGCAAACTGTGTGGCTTCAATTTTAGCAACGCTTTTCTCATCTTTGACCAACAATGGATCTGCAGCGCTAGTTTCAATTGAAGTTGTACCATCAGGGTTTTGCGTTACGAGAATGTTAGCTGGTTCACCTGTCGCCTGTTCTATGCGAACAACACTATCTATCACCTGCAAGCAGTTCTACATTTGAAATTATCTATGAATTTACATGTTAGACATACATGTATCTTGCGTAATTGCGTATATATTTGTATGGGCCCTCCGAAATATTATTAGTAATACAACACAAATTCGAGATATTAAAGAGATTTTGTATGTTGCGGTGTAGTGGTACATCCATATATAAATTTACTTAAAATCTCTTTATATACCCAAATGTCAAAATTACTACCAAATCTCCTTTAATCAAAGAATACACTTAGAATGAATATGTAAAAAGGAATTTTATCTACCTGATGATGTCCTACAATTTGCTGCAGCTGGTGAACAGTGAGATGAGCATGTTCTGAAGGCATTTTAATTGTATCATGAAGATCATCTTTATCAATAATTTTACCTCCACCAGGCTCCACTACAGTGACAATTCCATCTTCACTTACAGTCAGTTGTATCTAAGGAACAAGGGTTTTTGATGTAAATACTATTTATCAATTTTGGTTCAAAAATACAACAGCTTAGTAAATTATACCATTTAGTTTTTATAGTTTCTTACCTCACTAACCTGCTTCAGGTTAGGTATTGTCATTGGAAAGCATGAAAGATAGCATACTAATATATTCGATAAGATTAGATGTTTTAAACAACATTAATAATTAGTACTAAGTTATCTAAGCATTTTAAAACTACAGACATATTGTATGCAAATTCTTATATTTATTGTGTTGGTGAGTAATGAAATAGTTTAAAGGATTAGGGTGAAAGAAATCATATTAAAATATTATCTTTGAATTTGAATTGAATTCATACAACATAATACACATGAATTGTATGTAACATTCATTTCTTATGTATGTTACACTTTTGCAACAAATTAAAAAATGTAATATTTACACACCTGTTGATTAGAGTGTTCGGGGCGAGCTGCCATTAGCTGTTGTTGCAATAGATGTTGCTGTGAAAGATAACGCTATATTAATACTCCTAATTTTAAAAGCTTTAATAACTACACCATGTAAATAAATCACTTTAACGGTTTAAAACGCGATATATTAGTTAAACTCTATTTATATATTTAACTACACCATCATCAAGGCAGGAGACACAAGTTTTTTAATCAAAAACAACGATACTACAGAAATTATGTTCTAAAATTTAAGATTTGTTTCTATATAGGGATATTAATTAGAAATAAAACTGACATCCTCCAATTAAGCACATAATTTTAAAGAGACGTATATAAACATGCAACAGACAAGACAACTAGATGGGGTCCAAATTTTAATGTACATGATTTCATCAAATTTAACTACTTTCATGCAATAAAGAAGTACCTTTACTGATCTATAGTCTATACTACAATGGCGATATAGCATTCCCGCTAGAAAGGGTGTGTTACCATAATTTACCATATCAATATTATGTTGAACAAATTCGACCCGATTATTGGGTACCTGCTGATGATGACTTCCACCTGACACCTGTGTTGCATTGCTTGATGTTTGCTGTGCCGTCAATTCTTGTTGTGGATTGTGTGCCACCAGAGTTTCTATAAATATAAAGAAATATAAAAATGTTATATTGTTATTTTGTAGTGTACATTAATACTGTAAATAAATATGTTTTGCTTCGTATCAAAAATTTATTTACTTATTTAGAAAATAAAAGATCAATCATCTCATTATTACCATGTCCTTGTCCAGATTGTGATGTTATTATTTGAGATATAGGTATTTGTTGGCCCCCTGCCGAAACCGTGACTTGAGGTTGTCCACTGTGATGACCCAATATAATGTTAGGGTCTCCGTTAAGTATACTTGCATGCGCTTGGCCAAGGTCCTGTAACAAGGAAAGGCTTACATATAACTTTTTAAGAAAATATCTTGAAATGAATAAAAGTAAAACAAATATTCATAATATCACTAATAAATATAATAATCAACAACAGAGGTGTTATGCTTAGTTAAAAATAAATAAAATTACTTGTAAATGTGGCTAATAGTTAACAAATTAAAATTGTAATTAGGAGATACTTCAATAAAAGATGATCATACCTGAACTGGTTTTCCATTTTCAATTCTTGCATTTGCCGGTAAGCCATATACGGAAACTTGAGGAATTGGACCGGGAAACAAATTCGTAAACACCCAATATTTGGCGACGCTAGACAAAGCAACGTTTACAGCTGCCGAATTAACCCGTAGGTCAGTTGCAGACGTCGTAGGAGTTAGATTACTTTGCTGCTGTTGAGTAGATTGTACTCGACTCTGCGACTGGAATTAACAATAACAACCCCCTTTATACATATCCGCTGTCTTATAAACACAAAATTCTGTTAATAAATTCCATACCTCCGAATTCCCTGGTGGCTGGCCACCACCCGTGTTAATATTATGATGCTCCGGATTCATTGTAAGTAAACTATCTCTCACTTAAGCTATTTACAAAACCAAGTATAGTTTTTGATTATTATAAATCGGCATTGTCATAATTTGGCTGTCACTGAAATGGAGGCGCGGGGGACGCGACGGGCCGCCATTAAGAAACTTAGCACACAATAACATATTCTTAAATAACCTTTTTAATATCTTTAAAACGATATAAAGTAATTTTCAGTACATAGTTCAATCAGATACACATTTTACTATACGCAGCACTATTATATATCGCATTAAAATCTTGTTTTATTGATTTTCAATCACATTTCCATCATTTATCCACATATTCACAACGGATGCGACGAACAAAAGTTTGTCAAAGTCTAGACTACCAACATAGAGAGAAAATAATCAACTGCATCACTTTTATATCTTTGTTGATCGGTTCATTCTTGATCTTAAATTTAATTAAACGTTTTACCAATTTTAAATGTTTTGATGAATTCTTGTACCGAAAGAATTTTGATAAATTAAATTTTAATTTAATAAGTGTACTCTACCTTAGTACTAAAGACATTGCAGGTGGCGCCATGTTCGCTAGATGATTCAAGTTAGGCAATATTACAGTTTTTCTGAAATGTTTACAAAATTAAATCTTACTTCAAATCTAATGGTATGCTATATAATCATTTAAATCAAAAGTAAATAGAGTCTGTATTTGTATTTAATTTAATTTAAAAAATAAATGTAAATCCCACAAATATTTAAGGGATTTATATATTCATAAGATTTTTATTGTATTTGAGTGACGTGCATTACGCGTAGAGAACACAGTTAGCTACCTACTTATTTGAGTAGGAGATTTCAATTTCTAAATATTTTTAATTAGGGAATTCAATTACAAAAATAGAGGTATCTTTTAAAACTACGTTGTCGTGTCTATTAATATTATTGCGCGTTAAGGGTAAGGAGAGAAAAGGGACATTATAGTATGCATTATATATACCTATTTAGAATTTATATATACTTTACACGTAAAGTTAGTTTAAGCACTAAGTTCGCTAGACTTTTAAGCACAGATATAATATTTCAATATATAGAGAGAATTCATATTTATATAGATATAGATTTGTTATTTTTGAGGCTCATAGTCAATTGAATGTATTTTTTATTAATAGTCTGGATTAAGTGCATGATAAGCTAATGCACGGATGTAAATTATTCTAAACCTATAATTCACGTGAACGCAAATTGAAACTTTGAAACCGCCTCCAATGATAACCCGACCAGCCAAGTCCGGAGTTTCAATTCAGTAATAACTGCGAGGCTGTAGAGACTGCGCGCCTTCGAATTCGAATCCGCGAAAACATTTACGTCAACTGCTCTAACTTTGAAACCGGCGTTTTTTACATTTCTATCATTTTGAACGTGAACAATAAATAGAAACCAGTTTTAAATGAAAGCATAGCCGAGTTTTTGAAATTAAGCGTTATCAAACTCCATATAAAAAGGAGTGTATTTCGAACTCCGTGTCATCAATATACAGGTAATTTACATCTTATTTGCAAATCTTTTTATAGCTATAAATACATTAATAGTATCCCAGAGGTACGAAGTAAATAAAGGTTGGGAAAAACTTTCTGAGCGAAATACCTATAGGTATCTACTTAAACGTTACAGCATAAAGATAGTAATTTTTGCGGTTTCTTTGCCACAAAGTTTCTAACAGGGAAAATTGTTAATTAAAAAAAAACATGTTTTATGCACTAAACCATATACTTAGATTTTCAATAAGAGGCTGTCAGTAACAGTAACGCACACGAAAGCGACATATTAACGTAAATAATATTACACATCTGTACAATGTACAGATTATATAATAATACTTAACCTTAGACATTAATAATAAATAATGCAGGCAACAATAAATTGACTGAAATAAATTAATAAACTATTTCTAGAAATGTTGAATAATTGAGTTTCATACTCCACTCAAAACAAAAAATAATAATTACCGTATCGGCTATAGCTAAAGTTTAGGTATGTTTCTTGTCGTCACGAAAAAGGTAGGTATAATATTTAATAATTAACTAACTACAGAATATTGTGAATACCTATTTTTTAATTCACATAACAGAAGCCGTTCGCAATTACAGTGCCTATTACATTTAAAACCGTAAAAAAAAATCTAATAAAAACTTTACTTCTACACAAAAGCATCAAGTATCGCATATGGTTACGCTTATATCAACTTTGTTTAAGCTATTATTGGTTTGTTTTACCAATTGCATAATTGAAAGCTGCTTATACAATAGGTTTTAAGTATGGCGGTCAACATACTGGTTTTCTGTTTACAAATTGTTGCATTGCTCGATTACAATCGGTTCATACGACGTGATTGTTCTAATTATTATTGTGCTACTACTTTTTTACAAACCGTCATACTATATAAATTTAGACATAGCTATATCTATACTAATATATAAAGCGTTTGTTTGTTTGGACGCGCTAATCTCAGAAACTACGGGTTCGAATTGAAAAAATATTTTTGTGTTGGTTAGAGCATCTATCGGGGAATAACCTAAAAAAAGTCCGCAACGCTATGCGTCTATCTTTTAAGATTAATTTACAAGAACGACGGGAAGGGACGCGATCGACGGAACAGCTTCAGTTTATAAAGATGCAAAAACTAATTTGGATGCCCAAAATAACGTTTCTCGCGAATGAAGACGCTGGCACATCTAGTATTTTATAAAAAAAACTTTTTGTTTGTTTAATTTTGATCATGTTTAAAAAGCACTGACATTTTTGGTCGGTTTCACTGATCGATAGTATTTACAGGCCATTAAATGATAACATACTCCTGCACCTTGGACGTCTGGGATTTGAACCCACTGTCTCTCGTGCTCAACGTAATGCTGAGCAATGTGTTTAACCATTGAGCTATTTAAAGCGGTCCACTAACTTAAATGAATCTTTATATATAATTTCTTATAAGCTAGGCTATGTTTAAAAATATATACTATTTTATTTTAACCCCCCATGTCCAGTCATTCCCATATCATAAGCTTGCTACTCAATCTTTATTAAATTAACAGTATAATTGATATAAACAAGTTGAACAGACTCACGGGTCATTACTCAATCTAAACGGAAATTCTCTGATTGAAATTCCAATAATAACAGACCCTACTGTTGGTTTATAAGTTAAGAAAGTTATACCTAGGCGCTTCTGTACAAGTGGTAACTTTCGATTTATCTAGCACATTATGCATTGACTTGCTCGATGATTACTTATGTTAATTGTTTGAATAATATAAAGTAACTAACATAACCATTGCGCGTTTAGTACAGATATACAAATATCATGTACTGTTTGTAGTTTACGACTGCTGCAAAGCATCCGAAACGTCAGGTTGTAGTTAAAAATAAATGGTAAATGTATTAGACATTTCGCGTTTTAAAACCGCTATAAGTGTATTTTTTTAAATATGTACGTTGATTTACGGAAATATCCTCGTATAATAATATGAGTAATGGCAGACAATTTTTATTGTTGTAGGTATTACCATCCTTTTTTATTATTATATATTTTAGGAAACAATAGATATAAATATCTTGCCATCAATGAATAACAAGTGAGCATTATTTTTACTTTAATATTTACAAGAGAAATAGGTTGAAGAAACTCTAACATTAGTGCGAAAAGGGGAGTAAGTAAACCAGAAAATTATTTTTAATTTAATTTGAGTGTGGTAACACATTCAGTTGATGGAGCAATATCATGAAACAGTCTTGTGGTCTCGATTCCTTCTGTTTTACGTTTATTGTATATTATATAAAAGATTTCTAAATTACGATTCATTGGACGATGTAGACCATCGACAAAAAAGGAGAACTTCCCTCGCCATGCGTTAAATATCAGTTGACAATAATTGAGAAACGATATCATTAGCGGCCTCGTCTAATGATAGCAACGGGTGCGTTAATGACAACTGTAAACATATTTTTTCACGTTCCATTTCCTATGAGAAAAATTATGGATGCTATGGTGTAATTAGGCTTGCTTGTTGGCCCACCATTTAGTTCTAGTACTTTCTTTTTTGTTGCAAAATTGTAGTTTATCAAAGTTTTTTTTTTTAAACCTTTTTTAGGAGCCATGAAAATCTGTTTTCGAGTTTCGACTACAATAAACTTATAATATGTTTTATTTAGTTATTAATTCTCTTGTAACTCTTGTAATTTTCTCTGCGTGTACGTGTGTGTTCATAATTACTAAATAAAACGAACTCTATGTAGAAACCTCCTTATCCTCTATTTTTAATCTATAGTAAGTCTGTAGTCTATACTTTTTTAATTAGATCGATTTTTAAAACAGTGAACCGAATCAAATTATCCAATCAGAGGAACGTTCATTATAGAGCACATGCAACTTTAATTGCCTACGGTTTTTAAGAAAAACAGCGTTTCGAATGAATTGTCTACCGGTAAGAGATATCGATTCTTTACGATAAATAGAGTTTACCTCGTTGATAATTGGAAATGAACTAATCAAGATTGCTAACCAGCGATTTTATCGCTTTAATGGTTATTTGTGTAAAATCTATTCAAAAAAATCCTTTTAGTAATATTCCAAAATAAGTATTTTCTATTTTTTTTTAATTTAACAGTTTGGCCATCTTTTTGCCTGAGTTATTTATCTGGCAGCCTAACACTATGTATACTGCGAGAGGTCATTTGTTCAAAATGTGAAAATATTAAAACTTAGTGTTTTGAGAATGTGTAATTTTGTCTCCCATGTTATTATTATTTTCTGTCGGTAATAAGTCCACGTTATCCGTGCCATCCCCATATAGCCATTTGTCTCCCATATAAGGAATACACACACTTCTTAACTTTATAAATTCGAAAGAAAATGCACGCCGTAATGTTACTTAGGATGGCCTTATAACGGCCCGGCTTTCCCGGATACGTTGGAATATTATCCTGCATTTGCACCTTATTTGTTAAGAAAATGTAAATATATTGTATTAAAGTAATAAGAAACTTAATAAGAATATACTTATGCCTACATTTTCTTTCAAAATTTATTCCTCGATTTTTTTCTTAATGTAGACCGTACTTTTTTGTATAAATTTGTACGAATTGTCTTTCTGCTGTAGTAATCTCAATTTGAAATGACTTGAAGTAATACGCCAGCGATTTCTTCAAAATTTTGGAAACGTTACTTTTTTTGCATAATAGTACTCCATTCGAAAATAAAGTGTGTGTAAGTTGTGACCACCGGTATATATTAAGTTTGTTTACAATGCCGCGTTAATAAAATCTTTAATCAAATAATACTGGTAATTTTTCACTGGCAACCGATCTTTATAAAATCTCTATTTGAATCTTCTTGCCTAAAGTTAAGCGTGTTTTGAGAAAACCGCCATAAGTGCAGTACAGTACTTTTTTATATTTGTCTGTAGATACGGAAATGAAGTATAAAACTTATTTATATCCTGTCTTTCTTAAACACTGTCTGTAGTTTAAGCGAGTAGCACATATTAAATTGAAACACTTTAACGGTTTAAAACGCGATTTATATTTAACAAAAAATAAATAATATATGGCGTTTTAAACCTTTAAGGCGTTTTATTTAAACCTGTATTTTTATATTACGAGCACTATGGTCTTAATAAGTAACTAATAGGTATCTACAGACAAACTTTTGCATATGGTATTCAATATAAATAGTATACCGAGTAATACCTTCCGTAATACCGGTTTAAAAACCCTGCAGAAAATTAAGATGCTCAATATCATCTCAGATATTTGTAAATTACCTATTGTTTTCAATCGACTGACGTTAGATCTTTCTCGAATACCTTATCTCTAAGTACAAAGCTAATAAGTAATTGGAAGACGCATTGTTTAAACAGAAAACTCTCACGCTTGTGGTGAAATATAACCTCAAGTTGTATGAAATTCGATTTTTTTATCAGGCACGTTTTCCGTATTAACTCGTGTATGTAGTGGTATAATTAAATGCACTTTTTAAAATGTAATACATTATGTCAAATGATAACATCCATAGAGTACTAACATATATATATTACTTAGTTATATACATATCTATAGCAATACTAAGTAAATAATAAAACGACCATCTTCATTGCTGTATTAGGAAGAATTAATTTAAATTGAATTAATAAAACATGTTTTGTTAACTTTGAGGAACAGAATTTGTTTAATAGTTTAAGAAAATATTTATTCACGTTAACGCTATGGCCTCGGAAATGAATAGATCATTTCTACAAAGTGAATCCTTAAAGACATGAATAATAAAGAAATATAGGATCATATAGCGATATACTCAGATATTAAGCTGAAAAACTTGTTTGTTTGTTTAAACGCGCTGATCTCAGAAACTACTTGTAAGACCATCGGTCGAGAAAGGCTTTAGGTTATGTAACATCACTTTGCGACAAATAGAAGAGAAGAAGGTGTGAAAAATGTAAAAAAAACGGGGAAAATAATTCATCTTTTCGGGCTTCCGTTGCGTGT